AAAAAAAAAAAAATAAAAAAAAAAGAAAAGAAAAAAAAGGACCATATACCTGGTCTGGTGTTGCAACGTTGTTGCTGGGATCTGTAAATTCAGCAACAAGTTCATCTGCTACCTGTAAAGAAGAAGAACATAGTGAGACCTAAGATAATAAGTATGCAGAATTAATCTAACGAAATGGGGGAAAATAAATATTTAACAATAAATGTGTCAGCATCAGGTGGCCTTGCAGTTATATTTCATTTCTCAAAATAATATAGTCACAATAAAAGTTGACAGAAAAAATTAAGAACATGATCAAGAACTAAACAATGATTTTCTGATCCATCTAACCTCATTATATGTGGTTCTCCCTTTGCTTTCAACTTTCTCGCACACTATCCAAAAGAAAAGACAAGGGCCAATTGTTACATAACTTCATATTAAAAACTACTGGAAGTCTGGAAAAACTATAGTAATTGATCGAGTTTATATACTCTAAGCCAGACGCATTGTATCAAAAAGCCCTAAAACTTGGCAAGTTCTCATTTTATGCATAAATAACATTTATTTAAGCATGTATATTAGTACCATATATAATTCAAATGACAAAATAATAAACCATGAACATAAGAAGCATTCTCATTGATTGGCATTGCTCCAAAAGAAAGGAAGAAAATTACAGAAATCCAATTTGGAGAGCCTGAGTTTGCAGGGTTCTCAATAAATTACTATCAGCCACAGTTCCTAATCCTACATTACACGAAGTAACTAGCAAAAAGAAAGGAAATCATTTCAAGCTACATTATACCACAAGATCAGAGGATCGCCAATGATGTTCTATTAGACGAATCGTTATTTATATACCTTCTCTAGCAACCACCACTTCACTGCTTAAAATATTATTAAACTATGCAGAAATATAATAAATTCTTATAGTTATTCCTTGCTGGCACAAAATTACCATTGGCAACTCACAACAATTCTAATTTTAGGTGACTAAGCGTCATGACAAAGGTGCACAAAGTGATTGAATAAGTGCAGCATTAACAGTCATACGTTCACATGCACCATTTACAGTGAATGAGCAGAATTAAAATATGTGATTAAAATCATTTGCGGCAAATGTTCCTCCCCAGACTAGTAGCTTGGCCAAAAAAATTGCATTTGTTGTTTGGTGTTCAAAATGAAAAGCCACGGGAAGAAATTCTGGTGGAATAAATAAGATAACGGGTGAAGATTCATATAATTTGGGGTGACTGGTATATCCCTCTTATTCTCCATCTACTTTGTGTGTTTAAGAAGAGATATAGTATTTGTGGACATTTTTTTAACTCATCGTCCCTTCTAAATTGATTATCAAGACATCTAAAGATAGATAGTGCGTACACAATTTGGTCAAACGGCAAGGTATATGCCTTGATGAATGTTTTTTTAACAAACTCGTTGAAAACTATCAATATTACTAAGGTATAATAAGAGAAAAAAAAAAGGAAAGAAAGAAAAGCTAGGTGAAATGTGAGGTAAAAACCTTTCATGCTAAACTGACGAAGCCCTCGGCCACTTTTATCACCTCCAACCGCACGTTGACCTCTCTTCTTCTTCCTGTTGCTAACACGTGACTACAATTAGAGAAGGTTGCTTTCATAGACTATACATAGCATTCACCCTTTCGATAAGCGATTATAATATTTCACTCATTCTCAAGGGAGGATTGCCAGTGTTAGGCAGATCTTATCAATAACCTCCTCTTACAATAATGTTGATGTCTCTTTCAATAATGCCAACACCTAAATGAAACCCACATTCAGTTCTTCTACTCTAACCAACAGTCATGTCATCATAGCCCATTTTACTTCATTTTTACTCATTGGCACATAGAGTGCAACCAATTCCACCCCACAAACAAGAGACAAATCAGCTTGATAAAGTTACAACTTACAACTAATGTTGTGTGGCATTACAGAATGAAAATTAATTAGTCTAGTCTTAGTAAAATCGTGATATATCAAAACTCGTAAGCTTCCATCATCCAATCATATTCATAGCACATTTAGCAGCTAGTCTCACCATAACTTAAACTCAAAAAAGAAGAAGAAATAAAGTGGATGGAAATTCAAGTGAGTTTCACTATTATATAATTACACCCATTGCAAAAACTCAAAATAAAAAGACTGAAAATCTCACCCAGTAGGCTCCTGAGATCCAGCATCGTCCCCTTGTATGTCAAGATTGTTTAACCGAACAAATGTACTATCACTAGCTGGTGTTGGCATGGCAGCCTCACTCCGGCTGGAGGGAGACCCTACACTGCCACTAGTGGACACAGATTGGCCGGAAATAGTGGGACCCCATGACCTGGTGGCTCCGCCTCTAGAGATGGCTGATGGGTTCTTATCCCCATCTTCCTGATTACTATTGCTATCACAATTCCTATTATTCACCATCTTCACAGGTCAAAACAAACATTGAACACAGACCCGAGTAAAGAAACCCAAAGCTTATAGGGAAATTCAACAAATAACTGGCGGGTATGAAGAAAATTGGGGATTTGCGATAAACCCAGATGATAATTGAGCAAAAAAATACACTCTTCAAACACTGGAGTTAACAAAAGAACCATCAACGTACGAAAACTCGCACAAACCCAGTAATAGAATCAAGCCGAACAAGATGAGCTACACCATGAATTTCTCCGAAGATTAATGATTCTACCCAAATACCCACCAATATCTCAAGCCCAGAACACAAATTTATATGACAAACGAAAAAAGTAAAGGCCCGAGTCAAAACCGAGACAGAGAAGAAAATTCTTGAAAGGGGGTAATCTGATTTCAAGCGGTGAAAATAATCCAAAGATATCACGGTCATTAAAGAATCATGACTTCAAAAAAATTACATTCAGAAAAAGACGACACTAGTAAAACCGCAACAACAATGGCTGCGAGAAAAGGGTGACAATTAACTCACATGGTTTGCTTGTTTTTCATGATGTGGGCTAAAAGGGATGAAAATGAGAGAGGGCTCAGAGGGGGAAAATAAATCTAGCATTCTTTGAGGTTTTATGTTTAAGATAGAACTTATACTAATGACATGATTTTCGGACAAAATTAATTAATTAATAAATAAAATGGTTGCACATTGCTAATTGTAGATGGTGGATAGATTAAAATTTTGTCAGTTATTCATTGATTTGACCTACTTGTAGTTGTAAGAATTGTGATAAAATGTCAATATTAAAAAAAAAAAAAAAAAAAAATTTGAAAATGGATCAATATAATGTATGAGTTTCTTTAGTGGATAAATATCGAATATATTATGAAATAATTTCAATGTAAATTCATAACAAAGATTATTAATTTTTATTTTTTTTGGGTACAAAGGAGGAGGTCAGTGACCTAAGCTATTATACGAGGGTACGACACCTCAATGTTGTCATGATCCAGTCATTTTGCCATTCCCACATGAGGGGAGATGATATGATTGGCTTCCTGGTGAAGGTGCTGGAGACTAATCTCCCAGTCTCTTTGGATCATATCTCGAATAGCCTTAACCATAGCTTTATACATAGCTTAAAAGATTTAGAAAAGTAACAAGATACACTATGTCTATAAAACTCTTAATAAATCAATATTTAAATTAAGCATTTTGGTATGCTATGCATTAAATTAACCTTTACTAGTAGCTTTTCTTTTAAATGTATGCGGAGAGTGAAATAGAACACGCGAAGTGTGTTCGAATACCGAAAATGCGGAAACAATTAACTTAAGAATCTCTTCAAGAGCGTTCTACTATCTATTGGAACTATTTCATTAATAGACCGATTTGCACACACAAATTATAACTTGGACTTACAAGACTCGAGCTTCTTTCTAGTCTAGTTAACATTATATCTTACTCTATTAACTAATCATTTGGCCACGAATGTAGACTTCACAATAGCTATGAATCCTTCCAGCAATATCAGTACTTAATTTCTAAGTACGAAAATTGTTTGTACCAAAAAGCAAACGCAGTTTTTAAGTGGTGTAAAAACACTGAGAAACTGATACAATAAAAAGTTCGAATAACAAACTCTAACAACCATTTAATGAAGTTATGAATGTAATAAACTCCATACAATGTAGCAACTTTCCATTGAGTCTTTGTGTAGGTATGTACAATCTTCTCAAGGTAAGGAATCTTCAATATTCCTTCATTTTAGAGTCGAATTCTTTGTTTCTTTAACCTCAAGACATGGCCGAGACATTCATAAGTGGAAGTCGATTTCTTCATGTCCATTGTTCCATGATTAGCTTCTTTTTTCCTTAAATGCGAGATCTCATACACATAACCAAAACAAACATAATGGTAACAACATCTTCAAATGAGTAAAGACTATTAGATACTACATAAAACCTGTCATACCTTTTTTTTGTTGAAACAACAATTATATTAAAAACTAGAAAACTCAAAAGAGTATAAAAGGGGCGTGTCAACTGACACGAAGGAACCATAAAACATGGACCCACCCCCTTAGAACAATACATGTGTCCAAGAGGTATAGCCTTCATGAAGGAGACCAAAATCAACGCCAAAACCCAATTTCATAAAGGAGATTAACACTCCACGAAGGACTAGATGTCAGATGCCGCTGAACTTAATGAAATAAAACAAAAACAAAAGAAGACTAAAACTAACACACACCTAATATACAAAAAAGAGTAAGACCTGCCCTAAACTTAGCAGAAGAACCACACGACCACCTAAATTTACAACCGAGTCACATCCACGGCCAAAAACCTCAAACGCGCAGCAGAACTAGACTCCAAACTCGAAAATTGCGGCCACTCAATCTGCCTAGACGAAGTTTCATCCAAATCTGGACCTGAAAAGCTTTGGGGCCGGAGAAAAGAGGGGAACCACCAAGACAATGTTGGAGGGCTCGAGACAAGGAACCACGGAGGCACCGAGCGACTCGCATCCGAGTGCCCCGACCCGAGAGACCCTACCCCTCTAGGAACTAACCACACCTGTGCCTCCATGGTGCTTAAAATGAGCTCGCGAAATCGAGACTCCAGCAGATCGACGGGCTCCCACGACTAGGGCGGACTCCAGCAGATCCGCCGCCTGCCAAGTCTCCGCAAAACTTCGGGAGGGGTGGAGAAGATAGCCCCAGTCGCGACTTGGCCATTCCAGCGTGGATATATTTAATAAATAAAACTTATCATACTTAATAAGATAGTATCTAGACTTTAATACATAAGAAAGAAATAGATAATATATCTTTCATTATTATTTTTCTTGCTACTTAGAACATCAAGATATTTTTTTGAATTTTTTGCCAAAATTAAAATCTTACACTCTTGAAACTCAATCATATGATATGTAACACGTTTGGGAGACATTATCCAAAGCAGAGACTCCAAGACTGAAATCAAGTGAATCAGTTTTGCTGTGAAACCAACAGTTGACTCCATAGTGAAACCAACCTTCTATATACAACAAGTAAACATATCATATTATCTGATTACTTAAATAAATACTAATAATTTTATTAATATGTTCTAATTTTAGGGTAGGTATTTTATAAACACATTAGTCTACGATATTCTTTTAGATAAAAAGGTAATTTTTAAATTTAGAGATTTCTCTTATTCATTGAAATCAATAAGAACTAGTACGTACCCCGTGCGATGCACGAGACAAAGATATTAAATGAGTTATTTTCACAACCTTTGCCGTTTAAGTCTAAAAAGTAATAGGATTATTATCTATTTTCTACATCTTTTTTGTACAGGGACCTTCCGGTTTCCGGATCTACAGGGGAACCGACTATTTTCTACATCTTTTAATCAACGTTAAGTCTAAAAAACAATAGGGTTATAAGCTTTTTTTTCCACATCTTTTAACCAATTTTGTTTTTTTAGCGAGAACATTAAACATGACCATGTTAGGGATAACTTGTAAAATAATTAATATATTATCTAACTAAAACATTTATACTAATAAAAATTTAATTTTAGCATATAAATTTATCCCTTGATATAAGAGAAATTAATAGTTTTATTTATTCTTATTCACCATATAATATTTAATTATTATTTTATTATATAATAAAAAGAAATCTATGAAAATTATTAAACCGTCTTCTGACAAATATGTATTGAATTATGTGTTTGTGTCTTATAAGTCACAAACATAATGAATAACATTACAAATTATTCATGCAAACTTTCGTTCATTGCAAATATATTAAAATAGATTATATAATGGCCATTAAATACCAGTTTCAATATATTTATAAATTAAAAGTACATAAAATTTCTAGTGTGTTTAAATTTAAATAAATTTTGATGGGCTCAATTTTAAATCATCCAGACATTTGGTCAAACGCATATGTGTGTTCAAATTTAAATCATTGGCATTTTGTTCGGTTGAAATTTAAATCATCTATCATGGTACTGTGATGTGTATAATATATATATATATATATATATATATATATATATATATATATCAGTGTTTTAAAATGCGCATCGCGCAATGCGTCGCGTTTTAGTCTTTATATTGCGTAGCGTAAATAGCGTAGCGCATTGCGTAAGCTATTCGGGCAATTCACTTTTAATGCCCAAAATAATAATATATAACCATACAAGCGAATAAATAAATAAAAGGTCTTAAACCATAAATTAACTTGGATATTGAATCTAAAAAATGACATTCAAATATTAATTCTTCAAACAACCAAAGTCTAATGTTTAAAGTAAAGACTCAAAATCTTAAAATGATCGGTGTTTTCTAATTGAATTTAGCTATCATCGTCAATTCTATCAAAGTTATGGAGAATTTCACTACAAAAAAATAATTCGTATAATTTCACCAAATTCTTGCATCTCCTCATCATTTGGAGAAAAAAAATGAATTGTTCTTTCCATTTCACTTTGGAGCTTAAGAAACATAAACATCACATTATTCTAATAGTCTAAAAGGTCAATAATAGCTATGTTGATATCAATTTTTCAAATAATTTTTTTTTCAAGATAAATACAAAACATGAATTAATCACTCAAATTCGCCATGGGAGAAATTACTCAATTTTGTGCCCTACATTTTTTTTTTTGTATTTTATTATTTATTTTTTGCCTATAAATAAGGATTACCCAAATAGCGTAAGAAATAGCGCAAATAGCGTAAATAGCGCAAAATATAGCGTAAATTGCGTAAATAGCGCACAATATAGCGTAAATTGCGTGCGCTTTTCTGGAACTGCGCGAAATTATATACGCTATGTCGCGTTTTTGGGTAAAAATACGCTATAGCGCGCGAAAATGACTTATGGAATAAAGTAATTAAATAAAATACTTGATGGAAATAGGATGCATTAATTAACTTTGACTTTTCTTATTACTAATTTTGGTAAATAAAATGACTATTTATATAAGTATAGATGGTGTTAATTAAAGCGAATTGATAGGTTGTACATCACTTAATTAACACTAGTACGTACCCCGTGCGATGCACGGAACATAGATATTAAATGAGTTATTTTAACAGCCTTGTCCGTTTAAATCTTAAAAATAATAGTGTTATTATCTATTTTCTACCTCTTTTAATCAACGTTAAGTCTAAAAAACAATAATGTTATAAGCTTTTTTTTCATATCTTTTAACCAGCATTGTTTTTTAGCCAGAACATTAAATATGAGTATGTTAGGGCTAGCTTGTAAAATAATTAATATATTATCTCATTAAAATATTTATACAAATAAAACTTTAATTTCAGTATATAAATTTATCCCTTGATATAAGAAAAAGTAACAGTTTTATTTATTCTTGTTCATCATATAATATTTAATTATTATTTTATTATATAATAAAAAAATAGTGTTAAATAGTTTTTTTTTAACACAAAGATAATATTAAAAAAATATAAATATTCGTACAAATATACGAACCAAGTGTTTTTAGTAGTTTTTTATAAGTTTTATAAAAATATGTTATAATTTGTTAGTGTATTATTCAAAATCGTAATATTGATTTGTAGTTTTTAGAATCAGAATTTTGATTGTTTTTGCTCACCCCATTTTATAGATTTTTTATGTCAAGATAAGAAGGATTAAAAACAATATGTAAAATAGGAAACTTGATTAAAATTATAAATGCATTAATTACTACTTGATAAAATTAGAAGTTCATTAATTAAAGTTGACTTTTCTACCTACTATATTTAGTAAATAGGTTTCCCTTTAATATAAGTATAGATTTTATAAATTAAGTTGGAATTGAAGTCGTGGTCACTAATATTGAATCGGAATTGTCTCCAACTTACTAAAATCACATTCGACATTCGAATTGAATATACCCCTCGCACCGTTTTATCAGTTTTACAAGTAATTGGCATCAACTTGGTATACTGAAAATATAATTTAATGTCATTATTTTCAAAATCATGCAGCATTTTACATAAACACATATGCATTTTGTTAAAATTATCACATTAAATCCAAAATGATAGCTCAAATATATGCACATAAAAACAATTAAAAGTACTAGTTGATTGGTCAATTTAGGAACCAAACTAAATTGAGCCTAATCATCTTATTAGGCAACATCACTAATGTACTATACATATATCTATATATATCTAGAAAAATGCTACAGTTCCGTTACGGAACTATTCCGTTAGAATTTGTAACTGTTGGATGCACATGCAACACTAATCTACATGACATCTAACGGTTACAAATCGCAACATAATAGTTCCATTACCTAGTAAAAGTTTAATAGACAAGAAGAATGAACAATACTAAGATATCGATTGCCATCATATTGCAATATTTATCCAACATACATATATATTAGAAAAATGAAATAGTAAATTAGTTTATGTACTTGAAGCATATCCATTTCAACAAACTCAATATAAGTCCACGATCAGAGCATCATCCATTAAAATATGAAAATATATTGACTTTGGTAGTCAAAATTCAATAAAACAGTCCTAATATAGTGGCACGAATTCGAACAAAGTTGACTTGAGTAAGTTCATGTGTATCCATACATAAATTGATCCAAATCCATATACTCTCAACCACAAACCATATAACATTTAATCACATACAGACATGACATGCATGTCTAGATTCTTTTATCTCTAGTATTATATTTTCGAAAAAAATACTACAATCTCGTTACAGGAACTATTCTGTCATAATATAATCGTCAAATCATCATGTAACCGTGATAGATAGTTGAACTAACGGTTACAAATATCGACGAAATGATTCTATAACGGGACCGTAGAATTTCCCTATACTTCTATTTCGGGTTTTTTTTTGCAGAGGGGAGAGGGGGGGAGATGGTTTAAGTTTAACAGTTAGAGAACATATCGATTTATCATATTTTTTTCAGTAAAAATATATAATCATGCTACAAATTATTATGGTTATATGTATATTATAATATAATATTTTTGAAACTATGCATTTATATAATATATTAATAAAAATATATATATTTGTGTAACGGACAATGAGTTTTTATATTTCCTATGTCATCCTAGGTTGTAAATTTATCATTTAATTTCGGGCGGTCACGTGAACCAAGCCGAAATATTTGAAAGCTAATTTGGTTGCAAATAAATAAGAGAGCTATATAAATAGAGCTTTAGCTAGTAACATTTTATATATCCACCTTCAAATAATTTTCCTTCTTTAGTTGAATTTAGCCTGATAAAAATGAAGCCTAGTAGTACTGCTTATGTTCTTCTTGGCGCCTTTTTGGCCCTTCTCCTCATCTCCTGTGTTGGTGCTGATGAGAAAAATACTCAAACTGAGATCAAAAGTAAGCATAATTATTTTTTTTATTTTTCGAAATTTATTTTGGTAAGTTTCATTTTCATGCACTTGGCTCATTATATGTCCTATAATTAAAGTTTTTAAATAAAACGAGTCAGCTCTTGAAATCATAGTTCGATTCATAAACCCAGTGATTAGTTAGTTAATTTTTAGCATAATTCGGCTCGTTAAGTTTCGAATTTGTTTTATCTGTTTCACAACTCTATTCGACAGTATAATTTATATACTAACAAAAGTAAAATACAACTATTTATTTGTATGGCCGTGATGCAGCTGATGACTCTAATGAAGTAGCCGATCAGATGCAGTATGGCGGAGGCTGGGGCGGCGGACGAGGCGGCTGGGGCGGTGGTC